CCCATTATGTTGTTTGTTGATGGCGGGCACGGTTTCATCGGCGTGGTTTTGTCGGCGTGCATTTGTCTAGCGCACATTTGTCAGTGAACCATATATATTATACATTAATGATTGCATGACCTGTGTAGATGTTGTATGGTTCCAGAAGCAGTTTATGAAAATCAGTCATGAGGCTGATTTCAGAAATTAAATCCAATGAAAAATATTGTGGAAAATGAAATGGATGGGGTGGGTGGGTGTGGTGTGGTGTGAGAGAGGGAAAGCAGACTCAAACACTGGCTTTGTGATCCTGCCTGTGGTCAGGATGAGTCTTTACTCTTGGCCAAGATTCTAATTTGGACACAACTCTTTCCCTACCTTTGCTGCTCCTCTCTCTTCAGCAATCGATCTGTCCAGTGGTGGGTTTCAATTTTTTTTAGAACCTATTCTCTAGGTTCTGTTTTGTGGGAGTGGCTCGGCAGTCATGTGACTGGGTGGGCATGGCCAACTTGACATCACTCATGCACACTCAGTCACATGACACCCCTCCCCCACAACCAAGCCATGCCCAGGATGGCAAAAAAAATTGTGACTCCGATGAAGGGAAAGTGGGGGGAGAGGGGGAAAACTTCAAAAAATAGACTGCTGAAGGATTTAGGGCTGAAATTGCATGCTGGGGAAAGCAATTGAGTTGATCGGAGAAGGGACAAGGAGGAATCCAGGAGAAAACTATCACATGCTGCAGAAAGAACTTTGGGAGATTTTTGGGTGATAGTTTTCTCCTGGATTCCTCTCTGTCCTGCCTTCTCTGATCAATTCAATTGCTTTCCCCGCCTGCAGCCTCGGAGCCTCAGCTGGGTTGGCAAAGGAAGTAGGTGGGCGGGGCAAGCATGGTGTGGGTGGGTGGGGCAAGCGAGCAGATGGCAACCGGCAGGCAGGGGGAGCAAGCGGGGAAGGGGGCAGGCCAGGGGGAGGCATCATTCCGGTACAGGACCTCCGGAAGAAGACTGGTACGCCCATACCGGTGCATATGGCTGAAACCCACCCCTGGATCTGTCCCATTCAAAGAGCCCAATGGAGATGACGAGAATTAAGAAGCGAGTCTCCCAAAGCCATTTGAAGGGTCCTTTGCCTACAGCCATGATGGCCAACCTATGGCACACGTGGCAGAGGTAGCACATAGCACCCTCTCTGTGGGCATGCAAGCCGTTGCCCCAGCTCAGCTCCACTGTGCATCACATGTGCCTCCCGGTGGCCAGCTGGTTTTGGGGTCTCTGCAGTGCAGGAGTGGGGCACAGGGGACGGGGTGCATGTGTGGGGGACGGAGCACATGTGCACGACACATGCACAGGGCTGCACGCATTGCATTTGGGGGGTTCGGGCATGCACGTGCTTTGGGCACTCAGTCCGGAAAGATTAGCCATCACTGGCCTACAGTCTGCTCTTTGAGAGGCATTGATGCCATTTTATGCACAAAGGTAGTATTTTCCTGGCATGATGGCAAGAGTGAAGGGCTTGCAGCAAATGGCTGATTCCAGGACTGTTTTTGTTTGATGCATGAGCCCGTCACATGAGACAGAAGTGGTCTTTTGATTTCAAAAAGAGGGATGCAAAGCTCTCTCAAAATCTACCATTCCTGGTTCCAAAGATGCTTAGGAAAAATAGAATCTCCCCAGAATACTCTCTGATTTAAAAGGTCTCTGAATGCAAGAACGGACTCTAAATCCATGAGATCGCTGGCTGAGATCAATCGCTTATGCTGCTTTTCCTTTTCTCCTAGATGTCACAAGAAGTCAGAAATACTCACTGTTTCAGGAGATTCAGGATTCCCAGGGGAATTCCTTAGTTCAAATTATGGAGCAAGGCACCTGGGCCTCCTCTGCCAAGGTCTTCAATACAGTAAGGCCTTTCTCCAGCCTTTTTCTTCCTCTTTCTGTGAGTGGGCAATCCAGTGCTCCTTTCATTCTCCCCCACTTTCCTTCTTTGCAGAGAAGAAGAACATTGGAGGAAGACTTGAGGAGCAGAATACAGTTAGGGAAGTGCACACAGGTGAGTAGTAAACAAAGGGTGGAAGACAAGGTAGTGGGGTGCTGTGGTCCAGGAGGAGGAAATGAACAGTAAAAAGTACATACTTGATGAATCCTTGGTGGACGGATAGAGGTCTTCAGATGGATTCTCCATCAAACGGGAGGTACACAACACATTGGCAGTCATTTCAATCCACTTGCTGAAATGGAAGAAGTGTGGACTCCACTCCCAGAATTCTTCAGCCAGCCATGGTGGGGCTAGGGAATTCTGAGAGTTGAAGTCCACACATCTTAAAATTAGCGAATTTTGAGACCCCTGGCTCATAAATAGCCCCTCAGCCCAGCCAGGGAGAGATTTGGAAATTTTCTTAAAGTATTCTTTTGGTAACTTGGACAGTGTTCCTGTAGCTTCTAAGATTCTGTATTTAGTCCAGGTGAACATTAAAGAGACTTCCCCTAAATCTTGCCTTATGTCTTTGTCTTATGTGGACAGGTGAATATTTTGACTAGACAGTTGTTCTTTATTGTTTTCTACAGATATGGCAAGAAGAAGGGACCAATATTACTCTACTCTGGGCATGTTCAGTGGATCATTGTGAGTGTCTTGTGTTTGAGACTAGGAATGCTACTTAGAAACCCACCACATCAAAAAAATTGGACTAGCAGTGACATTGAAAATGATTGGATTGCTTGGTATACGCTGGGCTCAACTCAGAGGTGGTATTCAGCAGGTTCTGACCAGTTCTGGAGAACCGGTAGCGGAAATTTTGAGTAGTTTGGAGAACTGGTAAACACCACCTCTGACTGGCCCCGCCCCATCTATTCTCTGCCTCCCGAGTCCCAGCTGATCGGGAGGAAATGGGGATTTTGATGTGCCCTCCCCCAGCCACCCCCACCAAGCCCACCAAGCCACACCCACAGAACCG